GCTCTGCCCCTGGGTGGCTGGGAGGAGAGGCCCTCTCGGGGGTGACCTGGGCATCAGCCGCGGAACCCCCTCCTCCTCCCTCGAGTCCGCCCGAGTCCCTCGAGCCGCGAGCCTTCGCTGAAGTGCCCTTGCTGCCCCTCTGCTTTTGGTGTGTGACGAGGCCCCCGATGTTCTTGATTTTCCCAGAGAAGCAAATAAACCGCGTGAACAGCCCCAGTTCCTGGAGTTCTTGGCTTTCAACCTGGTGAGGAAGGCGTGGTCAGGCCAGGGGGGTGGGGCCTTCAGGCCTTGGAGACATAAAAGGGAGGCTGATCGGGGTTCAGGAGAGCTGGCTTCACCCGCCTGCACCTGTTCACCTGCTGGACTCACCCTGGGCGCCGTGGGGTGGTGGGAGGCGCTGGTGGAATCCCTGCCGTGCAGGTAAGGCCTGGAGGTAAGGGGCTGCTGTGGGGAGCCCCTGGGTTCTGCATTCACCCCACCCTGCCCTTTGGCTCCTCACTTTGCAGGGCTCACAGCCCCTGGGTGATAACAGAAGGGTCCCTTGGACACCGCAAGCTCAGCAAAGAAGCCGGCCCCTGAGAGATACACAGGGGGGCTGGGGAGGAAGTGTCTGTATGGAGAGACCAGTTTCACGCTCCGGGGAAGGTGCCCGGCAGCCCCACTCTCTCTCATGCTGTGGTCTTGGAGAAGTCACTGCCTCCTCTGGGCCTGTTTCGCCATCTGTGAAATAAGCCTTCGGGGCCGGGCGCGGTAGCTCAAGCCTGTAATCCCAGCACTGTGGGAGGCCCAGGCGGGTGGATCACGAGGTCAAGAGATTGAGACCATCCTGGTCAACATGGTGAAACCCCATCTCTACTAAAAATACAAAACATTTGCTGGGCGTGGTGGCGCGTGCCTGTAATCCCAGCTACTCAGGAGGCTGAGGCAGGAGAATTGCCTGAACCCAGGAGGCGGAGGTTGCGGTGAGCCGAGATCGCGCCATTGCACTCCAGCCTGGGTAACANCCAGGAGGCGGAGGTTGCGGTGAGCCGAGATCGCGCCATTGCACTCCAGCCTGGGTAACAACAGCGAAACTCCGTCTCAAAAAAAAAAAAAACAACCCATCCTGAGCAGCCCTGCCAGATTGCCAGATTCAGAGCTGGGAGTCTTTTTACTGGAAAAGAGACTGAGGTTCAGAGGGATTCCACAAGCAGCCGAGGGGTGGGTCAGGACAGAGCCCCAGCCTGGGGAACCGAAGCTGTGCCTGCTCTGCTGTGTTCCTCGCCCTCGTAGATGGCACTAGGCCAGTGGCCCGGCTTCCCCACAGATGCCGCTACCCACAGTCCCAGCAGGGCCTCTGCGCTTTGACCAAAAACCCAGAAGGACCATGGGCGCCTGAGGACCTCCATGTCCCCATCTTTCAGGGGGGCTGGGTCTTTTGACCTTGTGCTGTTTTTTTTTTTCTTTTCTTTTCTGAGTTGGAGTTTCGCTCTGTCGCCCAGGCTGGAGTGCAGTGGTGCGATCTCAGCTCACTGCAGCCTCCACCTCCTGGGTTCAAGCGATTCTCCTGCCTCAGCCTCCCGAGTAGCTGGGACTACAGGTGTTTGCCAACACGACCAGCTAATTTTTGTATTTTTAGTAGACATGGGGTTTCACCACATTGGCCAGGCTGGTCTCAAACTCTTGGCCCCAAGTGATCCGCCCATCTCGGCATTTCAAAGTGCTGGGATTACAGGGGTGAGCCACCGCGCCCGGCCCCCTTGTAGGGTTCTTTATGTTGATGGGGCCTGGGGAATTCTCCCCAGCAGCCCTGAGGGAGCTTGGGCATGATGTTCCCCCACAGGGAACATCATGGAGGAGGAGGAAACGGGGCTCAGAGAGGTCAGGTGGGACAAGAACCCAGGCCACACCGAACCTCCAGAATCTCCCAAACCTGCTTTATGCAAGAAAGGGGCCAACTAGGGGAGTTCCCCTAAGGGGTGGGCTGGGGCAGGAGGCACAGACAGGATTGGGACTCAGCCCCTCCGAGCCCCCGGGACACACAGGCCACTGTGGCTGCTGAGCTGCTGTGTGACCCTGGGCACACGCTGTCCCTCTCTGAGCGGGGCTGAGAGGCGGCAGCAGAGCCAGGCCGCTGAAGGTGATTTCGACTGAGTTCTGGCTCCTTGGGGCTGTGTGGAGGCCCTGGGAGTGGAGGGGCAGCCCACAGCGGGCACCGTGCCCGCCCTTGCCCAGCCTGGTATCGTCTTTCTCCCTCCTCCTCTGGACTTTGTTTCCTGAGCCAAGCCCAGGTGGGGCTGGGGAGGAGGGGGCACACCTGCTTCCCCTGGGTGGGGCCTCTGTCCCCTAGCAACCCGGCAGGCCGGGCGGAGCTCAGAGGCTTCTGTACCCATCGAGGAGCCAGAGCTGAGGCCGCAGGCTTCGGGGCCAGGAGCTGGCGGGTGAGGCTGGGGGCGCCCTGGGCTATGCCGGGCCGGGGTCCCGTGTGGGGTTGGGTCCACATTTGCATGGGGGTGTCGCCTGTGGTCGGGGTCTGCTTACCTGGGAGCACTTCAGTGCAGGGGGGTCCCCTGCCCCATGCCATTGCCCTCAGGCACTCCCAGGGGTGCCTTTCCCTCAGCCCCCCATGCACTCTGGGGCCTCAAGGGGACCCACTGGGAGAGCGAGGCCCTTATCCCTGAACTCTGCGGAGGCTTCAGTTTCCACCACAAGCGTTGAACCCCAAATCACAGAGCCGTCCGAGGGAGAGGCCGGGTTGGCACCCCCATGGCCAGAGGCCACAGCGGCCCCTCCGTGATTAGGGGAATTCCAGAGGCTTCTAGAGAGAAGCTTATTCACCCCACCAGGCCCCTGACTGGAGGTTCTGGGCAATAAACACCTCCCGGGGGGCTGGTTTGGGGACTCGGAGGAGGGGTGGCTGAATCCAGGTGGAAGCAGCCTCAGGCCAGGGGCTGGAGGCTCGGCCTGGGTCCTGGGTGGGGGGCGAGGTTCTCGCCTGGGTTCCGGGGCGGCCAGCAGGGACTCGGCCTGGTGTCTGCCGATGGAACTCGGCCCAGGGGCCCAAGGAGCTGAGATGACTCAAAAATGTTTGCAGCCCAGAGGGATGAGAAAGAGGAACGGCCCCTCCCTGCCGTGCGACTCCTCTCCTGAGGCCTGACCCCCGCAGGGAGCCTTTGCCCCTTGGATGGAGGTCAGCCGGCTGACGAGGAAGCATGTGTGAGGCCCCAGGGCCCATAAACCCAGTTTCATTCTGGCATCCACAGGGCACAGGGTGGGGCCGGGAGGAGCAACCCAGGGGGGTTTCCTGGAGGAGGAGGTGATTTGGAGCAAAGTCTGAAAACTGGCTTCGAACACTGGTTCTGTCATTGCTGTGTGGCCTCTGACGGGCAGGTTCTCTGGGTTTCAGCTCCCTCTCCCAAAAACCCCAGACAAAAGCGGCTCCAACAGGTTACAGGGTGACAGGGTGCCGAGGCCCTCACCGCCGAGGGGCCTTGCAGGGGTGAGGCCCTCGCCGCCGAGGGGCCGTGCAGGGGTGAGGTCCTTACCACCGTGGGGCCGTGCAGGGGTGAGGTCCTTACCACTGTGAGGCCGTGCACGGGTGAGCTCCTTACCGCCGAGGGGTCTTGCAGGGGTGAGGCCCTCACCACCGAGGGGCTTGCAGGGGTGAGGTCCTTACTGCCGAGGGGCCGTGCAGGGGTGAGGCCCTCGCCGCCGAGGGGCAGTGCAGGGGTGAGGCCCTCACCACCGAGGGGCCTTGCAGGAGTGAGGTCCTTACAACTGAGGGGCCATGCAGGGGTGAGGTCCTTACCGC